TTGAGACTGTGTGATTTGAATTGTGAAGGTTTTGCAGTTTGTGTATAAATAGCAGGCTCCCGTATTACGCAACTGGCTTTCCGGGTGAGTCCGCTGCAGTTCAGGTCAAAGTAGGTCAAAGTGTACGTTACGAGCAGATACGCCGCCAGGATTTTTTGGTTTCTACTAGATATTTTGTAGTTTGTACCTTCTTCAACTAAGTTCTTCTCAAACACATTCGGTTTTTGTATACCGCGTCGAAGTGAGTCATCTTGGGGTCCTGAACTGTAACGTTAGAAATCGAAAACTGTGTTCCGCTACCTTCTTTGTCGCGGAACAACAACAACATGGCTGCCAAGCACATCTGCTGAGTTGAGCCTTGGGGTACTCGCCTGACTGAACCTGGCTTTTCGCCGGCTCCCTAGTTAGCCCGCCACCCAAGATGGGAACCCCCCGGAGCTTGGGTTCTTGAGGTAAGTTGTGAAGTTCAGTCTACAAGATTCCACCTTTATTGTTATGGAAAGCGTCCAATCTCGGCGACTGTTGTAGGGCTTCTCTTGCTTGCAGTCTTTTACATAAGGCCACACCAATTTAATTTCTCGGTTAACGGATTAACCCGCTTCATTTTTTCTGATCTGCAAATAAAAATGAAAATTCAGAATCAACTGCAAAATGCTCATATTTTGCCCCAAACAGTTGAAAACAGTCCTTTTCTTCCTAGTTGTTACAGTTAACCGTTACATTTATATCTTTCAATTATGCAATTCAGTTCAAAATTCATTGTTTAAATTTTGTACCAGCCTGGTGTGTGTGGATCCTATCTTACCATTTTGGGCCATAATTATAATAGGATGCCTAGGCCTGTTTTTATTTTTTTTCCGCCCGCCTGCTCCATTATTTTTCTAGAAAAAGCAATTGAAATTTAAAAGGTTGGAGCTATTTATCTAAACTTAAACTTAATGCTTTTGAATGTCCCTGCACTTGCATAGGTCTGTTGGGTCAAAATACATCAAACTAATGCCAGACTCTTTGACACACAGGTACAAGACATGGCAGGCCAACCCCGCAGCCAAGGTCATGAGGTATGTAAACCACTTTTGTCAAATTGTAGATCTGTAGATGTTGGCAAAGATGTTCTATCAAAAAAGCTTCTTTTTTGACGGAGGTAATGTTTTCAGTAGCGTTTGTCTGTCTGTCTGTGAACAAAATCACTCAAGAAGGGATAGATGGATTCCAATGATATTTGGTGTGTGGATAGGTTGTGGGGGAATCCTTGTTGAAGAAAATATGGTAGATGGGAAAAACAAAATTGCATGGTCAAAGACTGTAACTCTAATGCCCCAAATTTTCATTAAATTTTACAGTGGCTTTGGTTCCAAGGTAACCTTACAGGTGTGATCTGACTAAACAGTGTGATTGGATCAGGATATAGGGGATTGTGTTGTGTTGATTACAGGCAACACAAGCACAGGGATACTTAGCAGGATTGAAGGGGCCGATTGTACCACCAGACCTCCCAGAACAACTCTTGAGTTACATGTAGTTTCTAAGAGGACTTAGACTTCAATTTGGAAATTTCTCAGAGCACTAATAGCCTGGGTGCCAGTGTTATGTATGCTAGATGCTGCTATAGAGATGACCACACTCGACCACGGCTTGGGGCAGACTGATCCCAGGGACACTGGGTCCCTGTCCTTTATTGGTCTTATCCGGGAGTTACATAATCGACACCAGATGTGTCACCACATGTGTACAAGTCCAACCCCCTACACTGGCCCCCCTTCACAAAAGGTGTCGTCCTCGACACCATGCAGAGTGGAAAAAAAACTAATATCAAACTATATCAAACTAACAGAACAAATGCTAAGATGGCTAAATTCTAATCTAGAACGTTTCATGTCAAAGAAAAAGATGAATATAAAGTGTTACCGCTGTGATAATAATTGCCACCGGAAAAACAACATGGTAATGGAAATGGGTCCATAAAGTACTGTAACAGGATGCTATTAATTAACTTGGCCGACAAAAAAAACAGATGTGCGCATGGTCTAGGAGCCGGGAATTTGATGGTAAGGGTAAGACATTTGTAAGACGGACCGCTGCTATACAGTACATTTGGAGCACAATAATGAACGAAAAACAGGCATAACAGTGACAATTCACTTACAAAACAGCACATTTGAACTTGCACAGCGGCAGAGTTCGCATTTCCTCGCGTACTCCCTAGCGTGGGGCAGTACGGGGACTTCCGGACCGTCACACAGCGACAGTGTGATCCGGGAACGCAAAATACATGATCTTCCTAGCAGAGTCGTCCCGTAGGCTAGCGTTTCTACTAGACAAGCATCATTCGCAAATAACACAACACACAGGCTAATACATGATCTTCCTAGCAGGGTCGTCCCGTAGGCAAGCATTTCTACTAGGCAAGCATCATTTGCAAGTAACACAAAGATACACAGGCTCAAGGCGGCTTGGTCGCTTCCCGTAGGCGTGCGAGCAAGGGCAAACATAGAAAACATTACATATTGTGCAACAACAAGTCAACACCACAAGAGTTCATAGGTCTTAGAAAGTTCAGTGGGTAGAGAGATACAGTACTCAGAGTTCGCAGCAAAGATCAAGCAGGTCACGTCATGTTAGAAAGTCAGTTCCTACTCATGATGGGGTCGGTCGTCTGCGACACGAGGGCTCCTTCAGCGGGCTGGGTTCCGCAGGCGGTCGGCGGTCGGGACGCGGCGACGTGGCACGGTCTGCTCGGGTCGGAGGGTGACGGCATGGCACGGTATGGATGGTCTTGGGCAGGGTTGCATGGCTGAGACAAATAAAAAGTTCACTGCAGGCCTGGTTCACAGGAGCACGGCAGGTTAGTACAGAGGTAGTGGCACGAAGCGACAGCGTCGACGGACTCTTAGTTGGTGTGGCCGGATACGGAGCGGCGGTCTGGTGTGTCGGGCGGCATGGCGGCTGTCAGGGGTCGAGTCGGTGTGGCCGGGTAGCGGGCTGGCGGATCGGGCAGCATGGTAACGATGGCGGCGGTCGATCGCTGCTTAGCCGAGGTCAGGGATGCTAGTCGGGCGGCATTGTCGGTATGGCGTGGGTTGAGCGCTCGAAAGCGCTGTCCGCTGCCACCGGTGTTATGTATGCTAGATGCTGCTATAGAGATGACCACACTCGACCACGGCTTGGGGCAGACTGATCCCAGGGACACTGGGTCCCTGTCCTTTATTGGTCTTATCCGGGAGTTACATAATCGACACCAGATGTGTCACCACATGTGTACAAGTCCAACCCCCTACACCAGATCAACAGCACATTAGGCCCAAACTGAACCCAGTGTGAACACTGGATAACTTTTGGTCTACTGTGTGCTGTGCATCTGGCACCCAGGCTAGAGTACTAACAGCCCTTTCTCAAGCTATAGGAAGGAAAAGTTGACCATGACTCGCATCCAAGTTACACAATGTATACATCCAAACTACAGGACTGCAGTAGTGAGAAAGGCTGGCTAGAAGTAGAAAATTGACTGCCAAGGCCTGTGCCAACTGGAGCCGAAACACTCGAAAACTGCCCGACCCATTGAGAAATTTGGTAGCCTGGATGCCATACCCATATAGCACACTGGGCCCAAATTAATATCCCAGTGTGCAGGATATTACTTTGGGCCCAGTGTGCTATATATGGGTCTGGCATCTTGGCTAAGAGAAATTATGGTTGCCAGGTTTCATTATCCTGAAAAAAAAAACTACAAAATTGGATATCAAAAATATTTTAAAGAATTCTTTCTTGAATAGCAGATCAGACATTGGTCAACTTTAATTTAAGAGATACAGTCAGCAACTGTACAGTATTTGTAAATGCGGCTATTGTTCTACAAGTGCATGGTGGAAAGTAAACGCTACACCCACACACAAACAAACAAAACACTCAAAACACACCCGCTGGCCTCCTTTGTACCTTACTCAAACAGGTAGGCATTTCGTCCGTACAAACAGACATCCATGTAATTAAATAGGCTTTGAGGAAAAACAGAACCACCTAACAACCAAATGGGCATATAGATTTCACAAAAAAAAGTTTTATTTATTTATGAATGTCGAAGGTGGAGAATATTATTTACAGAAGTCCTTCAGTTGGACTAGTGCCCCTTGCCCCCTGATATCAACACCACATGTACTAGCCTGACCAGGGTTCCAAGAAGCCCCATCTTCGGTCATTTAATCCTTTATCTACTCCCATCTTTAAAATAAACGGAATTTAAATACAAAAGCTCCTAAATAATGCGTCTTGTTGCTGAAAAAATATCCCAATTGGGAGGCAATGATGTTTTTCTGGTAATTTGCTGACGCATTTTTGTGTGCAGATTTGAAATTTGATAAGCGGCGGCCAAAGCTTTATAGCTACAGCCACTGGGGACGGAGTTTGAGGAAGTAAAACCAAAACAGCTGTGGGAATCCTGTGGGGGCCGTCCCTTGTTGTTGTCAGCTCAAATTTTTCCATATTCACCTTAAATTTGGCATACGTAGACATCTAGAAAAGAATTCTGTAAGTTCAAAGGTGTTTTCATACGTGTCAGCCACCCCCCCCCCCCCTTAAATGGTGCAATTAAGCGTGCAAACAAAACGACAAACTCGCAGGTACGTATCGTCCCATCTTAAAGACGATTCCTCGGGGCAATAAGGGGTCTGAGACGTAACGGTCCAACAAAAACAGACCCTTGTGATACTAGGCAGTAGAATCGACAGTTATAATGACAGTTTGGACCGTGTTAAGACGGTAATTTGTAGTACAAAATCCTGGCAAATAAATCGCCCATGGTCACGGTTAGTGAATAACAACGTAGAACCATAATCGCTTCTCCGTACTACTACAAGGTGATTACCATATTTAGGACGCCTCTCAAAGCTGCTAAAACTTTTCAACACCCCACCCGCCGCGAGGTCTGGTTTCTAAGACCCTCTCAAGTTCGTGGATCGCGCCTTGAGGTCGTGTTGGAGTGGTTAAAAGGAGGGAAAACTCACCGCAACTTCGGAAGATTTCACTCGTCAAAAGAACACCCCAGTTCAGTCCGCCATGCCGGAAACGATAGTCACGTGACGTGTAGAATGAGTCACGCCCTTCTGGCTCTGACGTCACTGTTGACGGGCAAAACAAGGTGTGGGGGCGGGGCGTATTAAATATAATAATAACAACGATTTAATACTACTTTATTATGTAAGTTTAATTGAGCAAACTACCCCTTTTGCCAGTTTTTTTGCTGACGTATTATGACAGTTGTATAAAGTATATTGTTAACTGTTATATTTAATGAATGTAACAGTTAATATATTTGAATGAATGTAATGTACTTGAATGTTACATTACTTTCTTGTATTAAATATGATAAGGCCACACCAATTTAATTTGTTGGTTCTCGGATTTTTTCAGAAAAGATATGAAGCAACAGGGCGAAAATAAAAAATAAAAACAGGTCTAGGTGTCCTATTATAGCCCCAAATACCATGAAGTCAACACAAATAGCTGGCTGGGTTAATATTTAAACAACGAATTTTGAACTTCATTATAAATTATTGAAAAACTTTGTGCAAAAAATGCCAGCAGGACAAGGGTTAAGTATTGTTGTTACCATGTGTTTGTGTGGCAGTTATTGTGTGGCAGTTGTATTGTATTGTTTTATGTAATGGACCACTGGAAGAATAGCTAAGTTAACCTATTGGCAAAGCTAAACGTGGATCCAAAAAAGTCAAAGACACAGTTTGTTTGAACTACCATTTCTATTTACTCACAAGGGCAAATTTACAATCACATATACATCTCTCTACAACACAGCCTGGTAGCCTTCTCTTCTCTTTGTAGCAACAACAGGCACTTTTACAAGTACACATATCTTTATGTCTGCAGCATTCATCTGATGGTAGTCTATTGCCTTAATTAAGCTTAATTAAGATCATTTTTCATAGATCAATGCATCCCATACCATAAAACACATAAATAATACTGGTAGGGATAGGGAGTAGAACTGAAATGTTAGTGACATCTTTACCATCCATAATACTGTAAATGGTGAAATGTTTTCAGTGGTTTATTTTTGCAGTTTAGGTTCGGATATTGTGCTTTGAAATCCTACTGTGCTACAGAATTGTTTCAACTGTAAACTTGGAAACTGCCTTTTCCCTTCTACCGCAAATTAGACCACCGTAAAAGTAAACACATTTACAGTACAGTACCAAGGTGTTAATGACCTACCAACCTTCTACAACATAAATAGTAGAAGACATATCTGGTGTATTTCAGTTGAAGACACTTAGGTTTGTATAGCCGGTAAAGCGATGAACTGATGAACATGCGCACATACAACAAAAACTTCTCATTTCATGATCACATTTTCTCTACATGTATGTAAACAAGAAAATGTACGTCTATTAAATACAGAATAATTTTTTCATGAGATTGAGGCAGTAGTGTTAATTTCACTGACATAGGTAACATTCACTATGAGCCTATGAAATGGTTGTAACATACATGTATGGAACTCATTTGACATATATATATATACATTTATGTACAATGTGCAGCAGTGAACACTTTCCTAAAGACTTAACTCATAATCTCCAAGCAGATGTTAAGGGGAGGCTAAATCCTTACAAACTCCTAGATGCCCTTTTCTGTGACAAACTACCTCCAGCTGGGATTGACATGTAGCCTCTCCCAAAATCTGCTTGGAGATTATTTACTTGTACTTCCACATGCAATACTGGCACAGTCCCTATTTAAGCCAACATGCTCCCTATGCACATACATTGTATTACCTTGTAACCAGACTTCACTGGAAAGTACAACGTACATCTTTAACAACTAATGATCTGGAAGATTGACCTTCATCAACTAGAATTACATGTACCAGGTTCAGTCTGTTTAGTCCATACACATTTTTAACAATAAACGGGTTTACAACTACAATGTATAATGCTTAATGGTCCACATTCATACATGTAGTCCAAACAAATGCACGGCTAGTGTAACAAACCATTGACAATCATGGTATAAGATGACAGTATCTCTTCTCTTCCAATTGAAAGCTCTCCTCTACATATAATAGCTCTGTATACACCGAAAAATACAAGTACTCTCTATTTACATGATGTGAGAGTAGGCAGTCCACTAGCTCTCACATATTTACAACTATACAACAAACGTCTAAACCCTGATGTATACAATCTGTTCTTACTCACATACATGTAACTTTAATTTGTTTGCAATGATTCCTTGCAAATTACAACTTTTTTGTTAGCTCTGTTTAGTAATATTCTAAAATTCTTTTTCAACTCTTTTGAAGACAATGTTCTTAAGCAATAGCTATATATCATATTCTGATTGTCAACAGTGTGAAAATAGAATTTGTGGTCATTGAGCCTTTAATTTAGAAAGCCGCAACATCAATTTTTAGTGGTACCAAATAGTATTAGCAACAAGGATTTTTTCATTCTTCAAATCTTCAAGTAAGTGACCATGATTTCTTGAGAATTAAATTTTGGGGTTTCAAACAATGTGTTGAAAAAGGAGAAAAAGAAAAAAAACTGAAATTCTTCTTCGGAATCAAATTTTTCAGGTTTATCAAAACAATCCAGTTCATATTGTATACATTATGCACATAATCCACAACAAGTTAAGTCCCCGCCCATAAATTACCACCACTTTCATCCTTTTTACACTTCTGCCTCTGCCCGACTTGGCTCCTTGGCTATGTACACGATTTTGTCTGGGTCTATGAGCCGATGTTTTATCTGATCCGGAGACAGATCTATCGGAGAATGAACACTGATCAGTTTGGACGGATCCAAATCAACCATCTCGTCCCTTCCCCTATTCTTGGGACCCTCCTCCTTCTTCTCCTCCTCCTTCTCAACTTTTTTAGGGACGTAGTTGATGTTGAGGTCCCTAAACTTCCCCCCGACGGCGGCGACTTTCGAATACTCGGCCACTTCGGAGCCGTGCTCGGAGCTGCCGTGGCTGGAGGTGGTGTTGGTGCTCGCAGTCCGGCCTCTCTTCTCCCAGACCACGTCGCCCTTCTCGGCGTCTGTTGCGTCTCCGTTGCCGGTTTCCTCTTTGTGCGGGAGCAGGCTTTCCTCGGAGCCGTCACTGCAGCCACTGCTGCTGCTCGCCGTGGAGTAGTGCACGCTCTTACCTGCAAATCAAATCAAATGTTAGTGATCAAAACAAATACAGTGTATACATGTATGCTAACAGTAAAAATCTTGATCTTATAACCTTTGACAACAGGGACAAAACAATGATTAAAAAGTAGTGCAGTCATAATGTACGTAAAGGTAGTGTGCACAGGCGTTCTTACGACATTTGTGGGGTTGTGTGGCATAGCGGCAGAGTGTTCAACCAAGCGGTCCTGGGTTCGAACTCTGCCATGTCTCCGATCTTGTGCCCTTGGGAAAGGCACTTTACACGACTTTCCTGGACAGAGGCCTTTGGGACTCCATCTCATATTAGGCACAAAAATAGGCAGCAGAATCTTCAGCTAGTTGAGGCGGCTGCCTCAAAATGAAAGAAGAAGAAGAAGATGGAATATGAGCCTTAGTTACCTGGGACGTCCACCACGATGCTTCCCTCCGAACTGTCCAGTCCGATGGCGGAATCGTGTGACCACTGCCGGCCGAGCTTCTTCAGCTGGCTGATGTCGTCCACAGTCTCCTTGTCCACGCCCGAGTCGCTGATGACGTACGGGTTGTACATGTGGTGGGCGTCGCTGGTGAAGAAACTGTCCCCGGGAACGGAGTAGTACGTACCCTTGGAAAATGTGGGAAATGTGAGTAAACTGCATCCCATTCAGTGAAAAAAATACGTACACCAGTACCATTAAGGCTGGTGGTCAACTAGTAAGTGGTGTCAAATTGGTTGTCCACTGGTAAGTACAAGTAGTGTCAAAGGACTGAATGGTTTTTAGAGATTCAGAGGTTGTGGGTTTGATTCTTGGCATTCCTGGCTAGACATTGTATCCTCGGGAAAGGCACAGCATTTTGAAGAACAAGATGTTTTGGAGAGAAACACTACATGAACCTGCTCTTACCTCTTCACAATAGTAGTTCTGTGCACCTGGGAGTTGGCTTCTTTGTCCCTTCATCTCCTTGAATCTGAAAATTATAACCAACAGATAAGCTTACTTAACATACATTGTGTGTAGACAATTGCTATACGACTGTCACAAACAAGAACAATACCTAAGCACGGCTGTGGAAATGTCACATACAAAATAATGACAGACTTTTATATCAACAACAACACAAAATGAATGATTTTGTTGAAAAGAATCTGGAGATGTCATTTTTACCTCTTGTGCAGCTTGGGTCCCGATACTGCTAAGCAGATCCCGAAGAGCACCAGGACGGCAATGACTCCTGCAATGGTCGCCTCTGTCAGACTCACAGGCTCTGTAGTCGAGACAAAAATATGTGTTTAATAACACAAAAACTAATTTCCAAGAAGATTCTTTCAAGAATCTACCAGTAAAAGCATTACAGTCACATGGGTTAGACCTGGCCATCTAGAGAGACTCGTCAGACACCTAGGATGGCAAATGGATACTGCCTGGCAAATTTGATACTGTCTCTGCAGCCACCGAAAGATCTGCTTGGAGATTACACAAAAACAAAGCTGCTGATTTAAGAAATACAGCCTATGGGGAGAACATTCTGTCAGTCTGTGGTTACAACATTCCCCCTTCACTTCCTGTGAAGTTACTGGTATTATTCAAATAACTATGGATGTCACTCATGCAAACAAGCAGACACAGAGGTAACAAGCTAACTTACCATGCTGTATTGAAAGGTTGGCATTCGGGAAATCATTGCAGTTGAAGTACACACCCGAGGATTCCCCGAAGAGGTCATACCGACCCTTGGGTCCGAGCCCTCTACCCGGAAGAAGTACGACCACCCCCGCCGACAATACACCTTGGACTTGTCCACCAGCCATTCCGTCTGGGTGGTCTCTTGGCGATAGACCAGGTCGTCATTTTCTTGTCCGTAGGTGAGGAGGTACGTGATGACGCGTGCATTTCGTGGCACGGGCGGATCCCAAACAACATGAAGCCGCTCTGTG